TGGCTGCACGTGGCTGCGCCAAACGCCGCGGCGTTGCTGTAACGCTACGGCAGCAAGGGAGAAGGGAAATTAACGGTGGCGGAAGGTCTCCCGAACATCCAAGCTGTCGCCGCCCGCCCACCCGAGGATGCAAGGGGGGGGGGAAATTAAGTCACCCCCGAAAAGACGGCCTAGCCGGTTTTTCGGGGGTCAAAAAAAAATAAGGCCCGGCCTTATTATGTGAGAAACACGGTAGTAGTTGAAATTTTTACACAGTGGATCTCAGCTTTTTAAATATTGTATTTAATTTTATACCAATTTTCCTAATACGAACAGCATTAAGTACAATCTATTTACAATATTCATTTTTTAAAAAAATCTACCAGAGCTATCTTTAGAAAAATTAAATCCTATTTTGTCTTAAGCAAATTCCAAAGTTAGTTTGTCTTGTAAGTTTTTCAAATCTATGAAAGGGGAAGGGGAGATTAATTTCAACAAAAGTTAAGTTAAACCCAACCAGATTTTCTTCCAAGGAGGGGGGAAAAAGTCATTTTTGTTTCAAATAGGGAAAAGAACTACTCTTACACATATCATTTTTCATTATCATCTTGTAGATTAGAAATTTGGATAAAATTATAAAAATGTGGAATATTTTAAAAGGAAAAACTGAAGTTTCCTCTGCCCACATTACTGACTTGCATTAGAGCTACCGTGTTTCTCCAACAATACGCCCCCCCCCCACCAATAGGAAGGCCCAGCACTGCTTTGTGCGCATGTAGTTAAATTAAGCCCTGCCCCCAAATTTGGGCCTATTTAACACAAGGTGAGGAGACATGGGGGGGGGGGGCTTGCTTAGCCTAGGAATCCAGCCTTAAGTCCTTCTCCTCTTCCCAGGAACGCATCTGGTACTATTTATTTTATTTGCAGGAAAATATTAACGCCAAAGTCTCCCAACTCCTTGACGCGTTTTAGTCTACTGATGCCCCACAGCCCTGTTTCTCTTCCGGATCACCAGCCCACTTTCCCCTGCAAGGGCACCACAAAATGTGCCACCTCAGTCGGGCGACCCGGGGGCTCTTGCGCAGGAAAGACAGGCTGCACCAAGAGGCAGATGCCTCCACTTTCCCATTTCCACAAAGGGCACCAGCTTCCCCCTCCCCCGCCGCAACCACAGCAAGGGGGTGGGAGCTGACATTAAAACAGACTCCATCCATGTCCCTTTGGGCAGCCAGAGCAGGACTTGGCAGAGATGCCTCTGGCAGGACCGCAGAGGAGAGAGCTGCCCAGCCTGCTGCTCGTACGCCTGCGCATGAGCGGGCGCAGCAGCAGCCCAGCCTGCGCGCGGCCCACCCCTCTCAGGGACAAGCTCACCTCCCCCACTCGGCCTGGCTTCTAGGACCACTGCCAGCTGCTCTTACTTTACGCAGCAGCAGCACCTCCTCCTGCTGGCTGCGCCTTGCAAGCCAAAAGTGCAGCCCGGCGGCACCCATGCGGGGCTGTGTGCTTTCACCCCAGCATCCAGCAGAGCCAGAATCCGCTGCCTGCCATGCAAACCCCAATGAGCAGCCTCGCTTGCGCTCGAGGGAAGAGGAGCTGGCGGAGCGCCAGCCGCGGCGGGAGCGCTGGAAGGGCCTAATTGCCTTTGTCTCTCGCACAGCAGCAGGAAGCCAGGCATTGCCTTTAAGTGACCCAGCAGTCTTCGCTCCCCACCCTTCTCGAGCAGGGCAGGTTAAGAAAGCAGCCTCCCGAGTAACGGTTCCGAGCGCTGCAGCTTGATCCGAGCTCGAGCATGTCCACACGGCATGCCGAATTCAGTGCTTAATGGAGCTCTGCGGGTTCACCAATGTGCTGGACTGAGAACTACCTGCACAGGCTGAACTGGCATGATGCTCAGGGTGGAAAGCAGTTAGCTGCGTGGGTGTCGCAGAAACACGGCCATTCACTGATAAGGGTGTAAATACACACACACGCACACAATCACCACCGCACCACATGCACAGTAACCTACCACACCACACACCCTAGTTTGCAAATATGGCCCTTGATTTTCAGGGCTAGGCGAGGCACGTGGGGGGAAAAACTAAGGCACCCTCGAAAAGACAGCCTAGCTGTTTGTTTCGAGGGTTAAACAAAAAATAAAGCCCAGCTTTATTTTCTGAGAAACACGGTAGTACCTTGTAGTAGAGGGGAAGCCAAAAAAAAAGAATGCATTAATGAGTTTGCCAAAATACATCCACAGAAAAAAATATCAAAAAAATGTTAACAATTATTGTTGGATTATTATATCTACAATTTACGGATCATGTTAATGTATTATGAACTGTAAACACAATAATTTTTATGCAAGGAAGTTCCCTCACACCTGACAATTCAAGGCTTTCTCCAGTATCAAAATATTAAAAAACATTGCTCTAGACTAAGTCACATTGAGTTCTGGCAACTATTACTCACAGATAAATTTCCACAGTTTGATGCTATGTTGGGGACATCTCTGTTCCAATTGACTTATCCTACATGTGCTGGGACCACAACTGGGGAAGAAATTTGAATTGAAGTGTTCTCCCCCACTTCTGTTTAAAAGCTAGATATGAGTTAATAGAGGTCTTTATGCTGGGAATGCAAAGAAACCTAGCAATACTTTGTTCTGTAACTTACTGTACTTAATTTCAGTTATTTCTAAGATAAGTATACTAAACCCAGTCAGTATGCTATAGCCTCACTTTGTTACTTCCCTCCGTACATATCAGCTGAGTGATTGCAATGGAGAACATCTTTAACCAGGAAGACTGTCTACTAATCAATAATTCTAATATTCCCAATTCTTGATCCTTGTCTACGAGGATGAAGAATCTGGAAATTTAGAATTATTGATTAGTGGACAGTCAACATTTAATTTTTTCAATTAAGAGAAGTCCAAAACTGATTAAAACATTTATTATTTTTCTACACAAGACAAGTATTTTTCTAACACTACTTAAAATAGTCTTTATCCCTAAATATATGGTGCAAATAGTGAATCTTTCTCTCGTTTGACTTTGTATTCCCTTTGTAAGTCCAACCCCTTGCTCATCATTAACTATCTGTATTTGGGATACCCTATAGTAAGTAGTTTTATTTCTTAGGCATTTATACAATGATATATTACAATGAAGCTTAATTTTCAATACTGGTTTCTATTAAAAGATGAACTAATAGGATATTGCTAGAATACAATACACATAAAAAATCCTTACCTTTTTAAGAAGTTTTTCATTTTTTAGTTTTTCACAAACCATTGCTACCTCTGAGCTTCCTGGTTCAAGAACAAAATTTGCTGTCATTTTCCCCAGGTTCTTCAATATTGCTGTTACAGGCATGTTCTGTAGCAGTGCTTTCCATACCTTGTACAAAATGAAGTTCAAAGATAAGGAAAAGGCAGTGTTTAAAGAAAAACACATACTCAGTATAAATATGTATACTGTACAGGAATCATGTAAATGTATTTATTCATTCATTCGCAACATTTCTACAACATCTACCTCATCTATGTAACTCTGGGCAGCTCACAATAAAAACATGTCACAAAATATAAAAGCATAAATAAGAAACAAAGTTAAAACTAGAGAAGTCTCTCTTCCCACAAGGCAAAATTATTTTAACCAGCAGGATCCCCCCAATATGCCCTCCCACCTGACCAAGTTGAATGGGACGATATAATTTGGACAAGCAAGATAGTTCCTCAGGTAACCTGGTCCCATGCCGTGAAGAATACATGTAAAACTAATACATGTAAAAATTGTTAAAAATGCTATAAAAACAGAGGAGTGATAACGTGCAGAAAGCAACATTATATAGTGTGATTCAAAGTATTAATGTTTCTCTAATTTCCTTACCTCTTTAGATTTCAAATGACTTGTCAGGAGGTGTTCTCTAACTAAACTATGCTCTTCTATCAAATGAATCACTTCCAGTTCATCCGTTGTATGCTTTACCCTCTCCACTGCTTCCAAATACTTCAACACTTTTTCAGCCTCAGCAGAAAGTCTGCTCTCTTTATATGTCTCTTGGACTTCCTTCCATCCCTTCATTACATACTTAGTGACAATGGCCAGGCCTGTTGAAATACAGTAAGTTTTATTTCTAATTTAGAACATATTTTAAAAAGAAATATAAACTCCAAAATAATGTAAAGTTATCAAATATTAGGCTGGAAAGTGTATTTATTTTGTATTTGGTATTCTCTGGCATCTTAGCAAAACTAGCAATTTATTTATGTTACCTTTATATATAAATAGTGGAATGTAGCGTAAAAGCAAAAAGAATAAATACAGAAGTGTTACTATTTAAATACATGCGGACACATAAAATGCCTTTTTCACAATTTACTCATCTGACCCTCAGTCTTTAGGATTGTTGATTATGGGCATTCTTTCTGCTATAATTCTTCTATTGCTTTTCTATTTGTAGCAGTAACAAAAATTACTTCTAGAAACCTCTCAAGGTTTTGATTTTAAAAAATTTAAAACTATTACATATTTTCCCCATTATAAAATAAAGAAATACAGCTTGTCTGTGACCATAATTAAACCCAAAATTTCTGTTGCTAAACAAAAGTTGTTTTGCCCCATTTTATAATCTTTCTTGCCAGTTGTTTCACAAATCGCTACAGTTGTTAAGTTATTAACACAGTTGTAAAATGAATCTGGCTTCCCCATTAACTCCACTTGTCAGGTCACAAAAGCTCATCATGACCCCGGAACACTGAAACTGTCATAAATATCAGTCGGTTGGTCAAGGGTCTGAATCACATGATAATGGAGATGCTGCAATTGTCATTGAGTGTGAAAAATGATTGTAAGTCAATTTTTCAGTGTCGTAATTTCAAATGGTAACTAAACAGTTGTAAGTTGAGGACTACCTATAAATTAATAAATGTTTTTTAAGTGAATGTTACGTATTCTTTCCAATATTTAACACTTTTTATATGTCAAGTTGATTTCTCTCCCAATTAGAGTCATGGCTTACTTTACAGAATTACAGTTCTATTTCTCACTTCTCCATCTCTCTTGAACAAACATACAGGCAAAAGCAAAACGTTTCCAAATTACTTACTCCAAACCATCCGTTGATTCAGAAAATTTACTTGTTTGTTATTACCTTCATTTGCAGGCTTTAGATGCGATAACCTGAGAAGATCTTTATGGCACCAGCCATTTTTCTTCTTGTATGCTGTCACTGCTAAAGCAATAGCCATGTCATTCTTTCCATTGTACCAAACTGAAACAGCTTTTCTCAGGGCACGGCCCCACATGCCACAATTCATGCCTTCCTTCAGATCCTTTTTAAACTGGATGAAAGTGAAGAGATGGGTTGGTATATGACAAATTTCAGGGACAGCCTTATAAGCTTCTTGTTTGGTTTTGGCATCAGAACATTGTGAACAAATGGCAAGTGCAAACAATACTGGATCCTGTTTGGCTGCTCTACCTTCCTGGCTGAACGTCTTTATTTCTTGTACTGCTTCATAACCTTTGCCATCTTCAATAAGCCTCAAAAGAGCATCTACACTTTCAAAGCTCAGTTTTTGTTCCTTGACATAGAAAGCACCTCCTTCAGAACCAAAACACAAGAAACGGCGCAGTCTAGTCATGTCTGTAACTTGCCACCCGCATTCATCTTCAGAGTTTGATAGCTGGTTTTCATTGCAGGGCTGCATTTGACTTGCTCCTTCGTCCATTGCTTCTCAGTATAAAGAAGTCTCCTGAAGAAACACAATAAAATTATTTAAGCTATCTCGAATCTTGACTTTATGGCCAGCTTTATTAAGACAATTACTCAAAACATTTCTTTCAAAATAAATTGGGCAACATTTTAGGAAAAAGGTGTTCAAACTTCAACTAAAACCTTCAGAATGAGAATCTGTTACATGCAAAATATACTAGATACAGTAAGTATAAGAGATTATCTTAATTTCCAAATAAATATTCATTGACATGATTCTACAAAAAAATCCCTAAATGAACCAATTTTCTTTATATAATGCTAGTGAGTTAATATTTTAATTTTTTCTTCAATCCCAGATAAGGTTTTATAACCCAGAAAGGACAATGGATTCAGTTGAATAAAAATAATATTTTGAACTTTTGGAGCCTTGGTGGTGCAGTGGTTAGAGTGCAGTACTGCAAGCTACTCCCACTGCAATTTGGCAGATTGAATCCCACCAGGCTCCAGGTTGACTCAGCCTTCCATCCTTCCGAGGTGGGTAAAATGATGGCCCAAATTGTTGGGGGCAGTATGCTGACTCTGTAAACCACTTTGAGAGGGCTGTAAAGCACTATAAAGCAGTATATAAGTCTAAGTGCTATTGCTAATATCATAATTTCTTATGTATCCTATGGTGGTCTATGTAATTAGAAGCTTTTCTGCCATTATAAACATAATCAGTGTACTTGCATCCAGAGACCAATATATTTAGGTAACTATATGAAATCCATGCCTCCAAATGCATTTCTAGTAAGCAATCAAGATTTGATAATTTTAAGTTGCAATTTCTAGAAATGATTAATTTGATGTAATATCTTCTGGTGTACTAAGAATCCTATCATTACTTTTAATTTCTGAATTTAATAAACTATTTTGCCAAGTTTTTTCCCTTAAGTAATATATTATTTTAAAATAATAATATGCCTATTTAATTTACATTACAAAACAATAATTCTGATTGTCAACATGTAATTATTGCTTCAATTAAATTAAATGCAATATCCTGTCTGAAATATGTTCTTAGAATGTACAATATTGTTTTTTAAAATGTTATGTAAATGTGCAAATGAAATTCCACACAAATATACATTTTATTATTTGAAATTGAAAAACCAATTCCTCACAACAGAATAAAACATTTTGAGCAGTAAAATTTTAGCACAATTTCTAAATTAAAAAGGCACTCTCAAGAGCAACAAAAAATAATATAATCAGACGTGCAATTTGAATAAATGATGTAATTGTTTATAAAATTTCTAACTAGTTTTCAGTGAGGAAACCACCTGAAATTGGAAATACCATGAATTAAAACAAATATTTCCTTATTAAAAAATAAAATCATTTAAACATTGCCCAGAATTCAATATAAGATTGGCAGATTATTTTACATAAATATAGTTCAGAACTAAATACATTTTGTGCCAAATCTTCACAGAGAAAAGAGGTATGGGTGCAGGATACAATACATTGCAGTTTTTCATTTGTACCCCACCCATTTTCCAATTCGTTCAAAGTGTTGTATCTTAGTTTATTCAATGTTGTCTTGGATAGTAATGCTGTGGAAGAAATTGAACAAAAATAGCAATTTATTCTATCACACTCAACACATTCCACAGTTGAGCTCCAATTCAAGTGTAACATTTTCTGTGATGGTTTGGGCTAAATAACCTTTGTGACAGATTGTTCAGGCCGAAATCTGATATAGCAAAGAATGCCACTGAAGATAGAATGCATGTTTTTACTCAATGTATTCAGGTAATTACAGGTAGTTCTCCATTTACAGCAGTTCATTTAGTGACAGTTCGAAGTTACAATGACATTGAAAATAGTGACTTATGACCATTTATCACATTGCAGCATCTCCATGATCAAGTGGTTTATATCCGGATGCAACTGACTCACATTTATGATAGTTGCAGTGTTCCAGGGCCATGTGCTTTCCTTTTGCAGCCTTCTAACAAGCAAAGTCAATGGGGAAACCAGATTCACTTAACAAATGTGACAAGAATAGTCGTAAAATGGGGCAAAACTCACGTAATAAATTTCTTACTTAGCAAGATAAAATGTTGGGCCAAATTGTGGACTACTTGTACAATATAGTTCCTTGTGGGATTATGGTACAGAACGTTTCCCACAGCTCTCTATTGAGCAGCCAATCAATCATCTACCAACCCATTTAGATCTTGCAAAACCTCTCCACAATCATTCATCAGACAGCATGCTTATGTTTTTTATTCATTCATATTACTAAGAGATGCACATTCCTCAAGACACCAAGTTGCAGAGTTGCTTCTATTGCTTTCCTGCATTCCTGTTCAATTACATTACTCCTATTCAGGATGTCTCAGGTGGATGACTCAAGCAATCCCGAAGCTTATAGCACAGGTAGTCTTCAACTTACAACCACAATTGAGCCCAAAATTTAGGTTGCTTATTTGTTAAGTGAGTTTTGCCCCATTTTACCACCTTTCTTGCTGCAGTTGTTAAGTGAACCATTGCAACTTTAAGTAACACGGTTGCTAAGTGAGTCTGTCTCTCCCCTGACTTTGCTTGTTTAGAAGATCGCAAAAGATGACCACCTGATCCCAGGACACTACAACCATCATAAATGAGCCAGTTGCCAAGCAGCTGAACTTTGATCAGGCGACCATGGGGGGGGGGGCAGGGAATGCTGCAATAGTCGCAAATCTGAACAATGGTCCTAAGTTATAAGAGCTGTGGTGGCGCACTGGTTAGAATGCAGTACTACAGGCTAACTCTGCTGACTACCAGCTGCTACCAGTTCAGCATTTCGATTCCCACTGGCTCAAGGCTGACTCAGCCTTCCATCCTTCCAAGATCAATAAAATGAGAACCCAGAATGTTGGGGGCAATAGCTTGCCTCTGTAAACCTCTCAGAGAAGGGCTGTAAAGCAGGGTGTCCAACCTTAGCAACTTTAAGCTTGGCAGACTTCAACTCCCAGAATTCCCCAGCCTTCTGGGAGTTGAAGTCCGCCAGGCTTAAAGTTGCTAAGGTTGGACATCCCTCCTGTAAAGCACTGTGGAGCTACGCGCTAGTGCTAAAGTCACTTTTTTCAGTGACGTTGTAACTTCGGAGTCAACTAAATCGAATGTTGTAAATCGAGGACTACCCACATCGTTTACTTGCTCCCCCCCCGCCCCCCCGAGATAGCTCCGATTGGCCAATCCATTAACAATCCCCTGCATTTCCTCGGCTAAATACTACGAGGCCGGCGTGAAATGTGAACGGCTGACAAAGAGAGAGGGAGAAAGAAAGGCAAGCGGGCTCGCTTCGTCGGCGCTCCCAGGCCCCGGTCTGGAGCTTTTTTCCTGGAACGCAGGAGAGCGGTTCCAAATCGGACCGAGACGGCCCGCGCCGCTTGGCAGCCTTTAAACGAGGGTTGTTGGGTAGCATTGTCTGCACAGGCAAAACCATACCTCTCTGCGTGTAACTGCGGCAGCCTCGAGGCTTTCGGGAGGCCAACGAAAGGAAAGGGTCAGGTTTCTCCTCAAGCGCTCTCTCCCGGGTCACTCCTCCTCACCCCGCCAAGACCGCCTGACAACTTCCCTCACGTAGTAAAAACAAGGGAGGGAGGGAGCCGGATGGGGCAGCGGATCTTCGCCGCCTCCGCAGATGACAGGGATCCCCAAGACCCGGATGCACTGCCCCCCACGTCTCCCCTCCTCCGCAACCCGCATCTGTCTCGCGGCGTTATCCCTCAGCTCTCGCGGCCACGAAGGTTTCCGCTTTTTGCTTTCGGGTGTGTTGCGCGCAGGCCGGCGCCGCGGTGCACAAATTTGGGGTATTTTTAGGGCCCTTGACCCTAAATTTGTGGTTCAAAAGCTTTGAGCGGAGTTCGACAAAAGCTGGACTGGGATGGCAGTCCCGTTTGGAGGTGCTGCCCATTGCAGCTCCTGTAACTCTCGGGCGTTTTTGGTAGGCAGTCGTTGGTGGCGGAGGACTTGGGAAATGTAGGGCAGCGAAGCTAGAGGACGAGGTTTCTTTGCAAGTTGATGTTTTTATGTTACTGCTGCCCTAGTTACATTGCTGTGATTCGCCGATGGATTGCTTTCATTTTCCGAGAAAAGCAGTCTTCGTGTTAAATTGATGCCAATGTAGTATGTAAGAATGTAAGAAGCCAGTTTTGGTTTGCCAATGGTTAAAGGCACCAGGCTAGAAACCCAAGAGACCGTGACTAAATGTCTGGAGATTCTCAGTCAACCAGGTCATAGTTACTTTTTCAGGAGGCAACTGGACTTTCTGGTTATTGGTTTGTTGTTTTTTAAAGATGTTATGCTTCTCATCCAAGAAGCTTCTTTAGCTTCTTCTTGGATGAGAAGCGAAACGTTTTCAGAGAAAACAAACAGTCCAGTTGCCTCTTGAAAAAGCACCTTTGGGACAAGAGACCGTGAGTTTTAGTTCCTCCTTAGGCATAAAGAGATTGTCCGTCACAATGAATGAAACCAGGCAGGGGAAGGTCATCATAGATGTGTTTTATAGTCACGTAAAATATCAGTTGGAGCCCCAGAATGGAGAAAATAACCCGAGAGATCAGTTAGTGGCTGCGTTGCTTAACCTAATTAGCAATTTAGGGTGGCATTATTAACATACTAAACCAAATAAGCAATCCTGATTATTGGGGTTGAAAGTAACGATTTATTCATAGGACAAAAGATGTGATTTCCGTTTAGGATTAAGTATTATGGTTTGTCATCCCCGATTTATGATTTAGCGTATAGTGTGTCCCCCCCCCCCAGCTGTTTCATTAACCAATGGTTCGATATCATGGATACAAAAAAACTGGGTTGAGTAATTCAAGGTTACACATCAGTGCCAACATAGCCTACAAGCCACTGCTCTCTTGGCCTATAGGTTGCCAATTGAGTTTGTTCTTAAAACAAAAGCAAAATTATGAAATAATGCCACCGCGCCATTCAGTCTTATTTACACCGGTTTTACTCTATTCTTAAAACCTCGTCTCTTTAATCGCGAGCCGGAAGTGCAGCACGCCGGGCGGTTTAGCCTCTCCTCTCTCTGGTTAGTCCTTTTGCTCCTCTCTTCACCATAGAGTAGAGGAGACTGTACCCCCCCCCCCACTTCGAGATTTAACTCGCCGGCCGCTGAGGCTGTCGGGAAAGCGGTGGCGTGCGTTGGCTTGGCTTGCCTTCGACCGTCCGCGGGGGTGGGCGAAGGGCGCGCGATTAGCGCAGAAGGGCGGCACGCGAGACAAGCGAGGGAGAACCCACTGGAGCATTTTAGCGGAGTCCGGTCGATTGAGAGCGAAGCAAGGCAGTGCGGCGGCTTCTTGGGCGCGATGGCGGGCGGGGGCAGCGCTGGCGAGTGGTGCCTCATGGAGAGCGACCCAGGCGTCTTCACGGAGCTCATCAAGGGCTTCGGTGAGGTTTGTGGCTGGATTGCCATCGCATCCCGCCCCCCACCTCCGAGGCGCGGGCTAAAAGGGAGCCAAAGGAGGGGAAACTGGCCAAAGCGTCAGATTCGACCTTCATGGGCTCGATTGGGTTCCGAGGATTTCCAGCATCCGTTTGCAAACGCCTCGTTGATTAAGGATGGATGTAGTTTCTGGCCATGTACAGAACGCGGTTCCCTGGTTAACGATTTAGTCATTGGAACAACAATTCAGGAATAACCAGAGACATTGCCTAGGGCAAAAGCTATCTTGCTTATTTAGCATCTTGTGTGAGCCTACTCTTTTTCAAGGAGTGAGACATCCTCTGGACAAGATTATTTCCTCCCACGTGTAGAGAATCTTTTTTTTCCCTTGGTGCATATGAGATTTGTTGTTTTTCTTTAGTTTTAAAATTGGTAGGAAATGGGGTATAGAAGTGGTAGTAACATTATTTTCATGGATCTAGAGAGAATTTTTTTTTATTGTTGTTAAATATAAATGGTTTATTTATGATGGAAGTCATGGGTATGTAATAAAAAGAAATAAATTATGGAAAGTGTAATAGGCATTGCCTTCCATTAATTTGAGAATGGGGAGAGAGATGCATACTTCAATTTGAATATGGCACAGCAGCTTTCCATAAAACTTATTTTCAAAAAAGAGCAACAGCCAGACTCTGTTTCTGTCAGTGCCCCTTCTGACATCCATTTGTAAATGTACACTGATTAGATCAGCCACTCATTTCCAGTTTTGTCTACAACATAGGATTTCCTAGTGGTCTCCCAATCAAATATTAACTAGGACCAAAGCTGCCCCCTTCTTCAAAAGCAGTCAAGATTGGCTGGTGGCTGTCATGTTAAATGCATTAAATCTTTATTTCAATTGTGTATCTATAATTAACATATAATGTAATGAATGCCGGAAAGTAAAATGTGTATGTGTCAGAATTTTGTGAGTGCAAACATGTAAGCCAGATGCTTGAAGAGCTAGATTGACTTGTAAGTCCTTTTTAAACTAATGCTAAGTTTTGCTCTTGGATTTTTCCCATATAAATTGGCCCTGGATAACTTCCAACCTATTCCTTAATTTTCAGGTTGCAGAGGAGCACAGGTTGAGGAGATATGGAGTTTGGAGCCTGAGAACTTTGAAAAATTAAAGTATGCTGCTTGTAGTTATTTACCTTTTGTTCCCTGTGTTCATCCTTGGTGTATAAATTACGTTCTATATTTCCCGCCAATGGATAAAGGATATTTGCTCAGAGCTTTAGTCAAGCAATTCACATTATTGGAAAAAGAAATGAAGATACCTAATCCAATATAGTTATTTCTATGAATATATAGTTACATTCTGAGTTCTAGTGGGAAGGGGAAATTGAATTCTGCCAGAGATCTGTGAAATTATTTGCTGTGCCTGTTGCAAAATCTAAGTACTCCTTTGCCCAGTAAGGAGGTATGTGTTTCATGCAACACAGATAAAATATTCCTTAAAAGTATGATTCCCCCAAACATTTTTTAGAAGGCATCGTATTGTTTTCCTTTCCGCTGCTAATCAGTTACTGTTCTACACTTTAATTATAATGCATATGTAAGTTAGCTTTGTTTCCTGGTCAGTATATATGTTTCAGTTTTCAACATATTTTGTGTTTTTCTTTATCTGTAGGCCAGTTCATGGACTGATATTTTTGTTCAAATGGCAACCAGGAGAAGAACCAGCTGGTTCTGTTGTTCAGGATTCCAGATTAGACACATTATTTTTTGCTAAACAGGTATGGTAAATTGAAAAACTCTGTATCTAGGACAATTTCTTTTTAAGCAAAGGAAATAAAAATTATCTTCTGAAATATTGTGATGAAACGGAAACATGGCAAACAGGTTCAGTGAAGTACTGATAAAAATCATTTTAACCTTGAACTAGAAATTTATATATTTTTATTTTTAACATTTAGTTTTATAAATAATGTGAATATATAATTGTAGTGTTACTAAAGATATGCCTGTATTTTCTGATTCTGATCATGGAAAGTGCTTTGTGGTCTACAAAGCTATGTGTTCTTAGCTAGAAGGAAGTTTCTGAATTAATAAGTATATAATTAGCCTTTTTTTAGCAAATTTACAAACATATTTTTAAACTATGAAATTGTCCATATACATGTAGTCCTTGACTTACAACCACAATTGAGCCCAAAATTTATGTTGTTATCAGGCATGATATTCTTCCGATTAAAATCGGAATTCTGATTTTTTTGGGAATCGCCCCCTCCTTTCCCCCCACCCCTTCTTCTCCTCCTTCCCCTCCCCTCGGAGGCCCCGAGTCAGGAGTTGCTGGCGCGGCTCCGCGTAGCTCCAGTCCCGCATTGCCTCAGGAAGGGAAAGGCAAAAAGGAAGAGCCGTGGCGGCGCTTTGCAATGGCAGCAGCGGCTCCTGGTTTTGCCTTTCCCTTCTCGAGGCAACGCGGGACTGGAGCCGCGTGGAGCTGCGCCAGCGGTAGCAACTCCTGACAGCCCCAGCCGGATACCTGAGCGGAGCCCGGGCAGTGCGAGCGGAGGCCGCTGAGCGGCAGGAAAAGGGAGCTGGGCCAGCCACAGACCAGCCTCCATGCAACACGCCGCCACCTGGCTCTGGCGAGGGAAGGCAGCGGGCGCGCAGCGGGGGGGTCTCTTGGCCGGCCCTGATTTTTTTTTTCAGAGGGGAATATCATGCCTGGTTGTTAAGCAAAACAGTTGTGAATTTTGCCCCATTTTACAACCTTTCTTATTACAGTTGTTAAGCTGGTAACCAGGATGCTAAATGAACTTAGCTTCCCAATTAACTTTTCTTGTTAGAAGATCACAAAAGATGACCATGTGGCTCCGGAACACTGCAAACATCATAAATATGAGTCAGTTGCCGAGTATTTAAATTTTGATTATGTGACCATGAAAATGCTACAATAGTTGTAAATGTGAAAAACAGTCATAAGTCACTTTTTTCAGTGCTTTGTCACTTTGTATGGTCACTAAATAAATTGTTGTAAGTCAAGGACTATATATATTTTTTCAAACACTCTTATTATGAAATTGGATTTTTTTTTTCATTTCTTTGTTTTGGAATTCTAATATCTTTAATATAAACCTCCAGCCAGAAAATATCCAATTAACATAAAACAAAATTTGTTCAATTTGATGTA